CAGATCTTACGTTTGAAACATTAGTTATTCCTCATATGACTTACATGTCACCATTACTTCATTTTGGCGGAGATCTAGCCCCTTCGGTGGCCCTCACTATTGTTATAGGTTGCGACTAGAGTTCTTCTTCCAGCATCTTTACACGGGGTGATCATCCCAAGAAGGAAGACGTGATTCGTTTTTCCCGTTCTTGTTTGAAAATAATAAAGTGTGTTCATGGATTTTTCAATGTTATTTTTAAACAATGTTTTGTAAACATTTTGGAGTCTGCATGCTCGTGGTTACCACGTGTGGCTTAATATTAAACATTATATTTTCGTACTATGTTTGACTTTGGTATTGATGTTGTTTGTATGAGTTTAATAACTGGTTTGACATATGATTAATCTTTCGGACGCCTTGTATGACATAACGAGATGAACAACGGTTGTCCTTGTTGGGTTGTACGGTGGTTGTCTACGTGGCATGGACGTGGTCCGGGGCGTGCCATATTACCTATGGATCTCTGTAAGGAGATTGAAAGAGTCATGCAGGACTATTGGTGGAAGGGGCTTATGTTTTCAAGGGAAAGGGAGTTCGTTGGAAATCTTGGGATGAGTTGTGCTTACCAAAAGATATTGGGGGTTTAGGCTATCGAAACATGCGAGAGTTTAATTATAAGTGATTTTTAAAACATCCTACCACTATATTGAGTAAATTGTTAAAAGCCCAATATTTTTCGAGATGTAATATACTTGAGGTGGGAATGGGTGGCCTGGAAATCAGTCTCTTATTTGGCACAGTATAGTGGAGGCTATGTCAATGGTTCAACAAGGGGTCCGTTTTCGCATTGGTAGGGTACAAAAGTTTGGGTGTGGTCGGATCTGTGGCTTCTGAGACCGGAAGGGGTTGTCTAACATTTCCTGCGCCTCATAGTTTAGAAGATATTATCGTGAACTCCCTTATGACTTTTGATGGTAAGAACATAGATAGAGATATTCGTATGAATTATTGAAATGAGTTTTTCACTATATTAAAACGAGTATAGTGAATCAAATAAATGTGCTAGAGTGAACCATTATGAAATGAGCAAAATAAGTCTTGTAAATCAAGGCTGACACATTATAAATGACTTTTCTATTAAAACTGTTATATTTCCATTGGTAAATCCACTAATAATTTAGTAAATAGGTCTAATTATATTTAGTTGTTCGCAATGAAGATATTATATGATGGGTTTTATGCGATACTCAAATAAGTACATAGTTTAAAACAAAATGAATAATGGTATTACTTTAAAATATGAGCACAATAAAGGTTTTAAATGCCCATATATCAATGCATGTTTCATGAGATCCAGACATATTTACAAGTAAAACCTTCATATTTATACATTTACATTTCCGCCACATACATGGCAACTACACAAATTACACATCTAGAAATAAATTATTATTACTAATTCAATTACATAGAAATGACACAAATATTTTTTGGTTTGGCCTTTTTATGCATAAGATTTGTATTTTTTACTTACTCCGAATACCCTTAATGATTAATACATCAAAAAATTTCACAAATTCACACAATATAGAATAGTTTTTGTGTGTGCATATTTGCATTATACTATCGTATATAAATATATCATCGGTTAATTATGAAAAGAAGTCAATATGACAAGACAACTAAAATATATTAAAATAATTTGTAAATTTGACGTGCACTTTGTCGTGGTGTGCACTTCAAAATAAATATTCAATACAACAATTATACGTAGTATAACGAAGTAAGGTTCGTATCCATAGGGAAAGGAATATTTCTCTTTTTAATTAACTAATAACAAAAGGGGGGTTTAGGTTTGAGTGATTTAATTAATTAAATACGAAGATGAATGATTTATATGAGTTTAATTAATAGAGATGAGGACTTGGCTTTGCTTTTATCCACTTAATGAAATGTCCGTCGATCCCGGTTTTATCTTTAACTATCTTCCTCTCGAATACTCAATCGAGGAGTATATCCAGTTCATCGAGGGTAGTTATTAATAACGAGACGCGTTCATTAATATAACTTGCTACCGAGTTAATATAGAACACGTGCCGTATATTAACTTGATAGTAGCAATAAAATCAAGATGAAAACGATTGAGATTGATAACCTCAACATAGGCGGTTTATCGGTTTAATCAATATAATTAATTCTCCTTACGTTATTAACCATGAAACGCATGCATTAATAACCCAAGTTTACTACCGTGAAAAGATCGAACGATTAACAAGCCTATTCGTCGGTCGATTCTAGTATTAATTAATTTATGAAACAAAACTAGTTGATCCTTTAAGTAATGCTCAAAATATTAATATGAAATATGAACAAGAATTAATTAATATTCAAGGAATAATATTAAAGAAGATAAATCCTACTATAACTAATGTCAAGATGTTAACTAATTGTCATCTTAGCAACACTCCCCAACATTAATATAGAGGAAGAAAATAAATACTACTATAACTAATGTCGAGATGTTAACTAATTTTCATCTTAGCAACACTCCCCAACATTAATATAGAGATAGTATTAAGGGAAAAATTAATATTCAAGGAAGAAGATTAAAGAAAATAACTCACAACTTACAATTCATTAAGCTTCAAAATAGCAAAACCAAGATGGAAGAGTTTAGCTCCTCATTTGAAGACTAAACATGATAGAAAATATAATGAAAACACTAATCTAAACTGAGCTAATAAAGAGTATATGTGAATTGGTGATTTTATTGGGAAGGAAAGAGGTGTATTTATAGGCTTTTGGGAGCTGCAGGGTCTGATACCCGATCGGGTATATAGGATACCCGATCGGGTATATAGGATACCCGATCGGGTATCTTACGAAATTGCCCAGAAAGTCACTTTTCTGGGCATACCCGATCGGGTATGTCGGCAAACCTGATCGGGTATGTGACAAATCTTCACGAAAATTTTCTCCCACGATCATTTGTTCCCGGATTTGATTTGGACAATCGAATCAAGCTAGTGAATACCCGATCGGGTATAGGCAATACCCGACCGGGTACATGAGTATTTTTTCCAAATCGAAATCTTTCTTATCTCCTTGCACTTTCCTTGATCTTTTAAGGTTCAATCTTGATCCCTTGGATGATCTTTGACCTGTTTAGCTCAGAATAATCCTAATCTAAACAAATTACAAATAAAAATGAAACTAAAATATTACACCAAAAGTGTGTAATTTTCACAACTAGAACTAATAAAAACTAGTTAAAAATACAAACATACAATCGGAAATTACATGAATATCAAAAGTGTTATGAAATCACCTACAACATATGTGACATTAGATTTAATAACACTTTGAAAATTGTTGGCGATCAATTAACGTTCTTGAATTCAAAAATAGTGTAAATTTAAGATGTTGCATCTATTCTTTTGAAAGAAAGATGTTGCATCTATTTAAAAACGAGGATATTATAATACTTTGTATCTAATATCAATTCATTGCTAATTGGACGAGATCGAATGAGAATTTATTAGTTTAACCCATGATAAAAAATAATATTATTACGGAGTATGTTTTTATTAGATAAATAAAAATAGAAATAATTACGGAAATTGTCCTAAATAGGACTAATGAGTTCCTAAAAACCACAAATAGGACTACTACTTTTTAAATTCCCTAAATAGGACTAAACATTGATTTTCTACCCTAAATACATCTAAGAGTATTATTTCATAATGAAATGCTTTAATTCATAATAAAATCATAAAAAACGAAAAAAATATTTAAAAATGTAAAAAAAATTATAAAATATTTATAAAATAAAATATTTAATTTTTATTTTTTAAATTGTTTTAAAAAAATAATAAAAAATAGTAAAAACCCATAAAAATGAAAAAAAAATTATGGATACCTTTCCCACCACCTCCTAGCACCATCACCTCCGATTGGTGAAATTTCTTCCACTTTTGGTAAAAAAAATGCCATTTTTTTTTTCTGAAAATGCCAAAAAGATGGCATAATTACACTTCAATATGCCAACATTTTCATTGAATATGCCATTATTTAAAATGTTGGCATATTTTTCTCCAGTGATGGGAGCTAGTGGTGCTAGGGGTGGCAGGGGTGGTAATGTTTTTTTTTTAATTTTACGGTTTTTTTTTTAATTTTACGATTTTTTTTTAATTTTTTTAAAAATATTTTTTTTTAAAATTTTTTAAAAAATATTTTAAAAAATGTTTTAAAAAAATTTATTTTTTAAATTTTTTAAAAAATATTATTAATTAAAACATTTCACAAGCTACAAGGGTATATTTGTCCAAACACACATAAATGGTTCTATTAAGGGAATTTAAAAAATGTAGTCCTATTTATGCAATTTTGCCACTTTTTAGTCATATTTAGGGAATTGACTCGAATAATTACATAAATATAACCAAAATAAAGATGATTTACAAAAATATTACTTGATACTAGAGTAGTAATTTATGTTCATGTTTTGAACTTAAGTTACCACAACACTACGTTGTAATAACGAATAATTATATTTATGTCAATAACTTTTATTTTAGTTATATTCCTGTAGAAATCTCTTAAAAATAATTGATTTCATATTTGTCATTAACAAGCTTTAAAGATTTCATTATTTTCAATGTTTGGTAATACTCCCTCCGTAACATATATATGTTCCCATTTGAAAAGTAGGTAGATTAAGAATAGTGAAGGTGAATATAAATTATTGAGGGTATGATGGGAAGATAGTGAAATAATGTGTTGGAATGAAAGATAAATCCAAAAAAAGTAGGTGTAATAGTATGTTATTTTTAAAATTATTGAGGGTATGATTGGAAGATTATGAAATGAGAAGATATGAATATTACATCCAAAAAAAGAAAGTGGGAAGATATAAATGTTAGGGAGGGACTAATACTCACATTGGGAATTTTCTATGTGTGGTAATAATTGATTTCATGATTCAATCCAACAAACCAGCGGGTCCATTTTCAAAACATAATTACACCTTTGAGTTTGGTGGGGCATCTTCGTGCTCATCCAATTTGTAATAAATCTCCATTCGTTTTTGCATTGAAGATTTCATACTATGGTGTATACTAACTATCCTACTACTGAGTATAGTAATAATTTAAGCAGCAGGCGCGACGTGATGAAAATAAGAGTCCACTACTGCCTAATCTCCCTTGTTCTACAAATACTACTATTAACTGGAGATTCTGCTTTTGGCTTAGAACCTGGAATGTCCAATGATCTCAAAAGATTCCACTTTCCGGATCAATTCCTTTTTGGAGCCGCCACCTCTGCTTACCAGGTTACTGTATTCCTTCATAAGCGCTTTAGATTGGATTCTCTTGAGAGGGTGGGGGGTATCTTTAATTTTTAATTTTGTTTTATCTTCATCGTTTCTTGAATTTTAGATTGAAGGAGCTTATCTTGAAGATGGTAAAGGGCTTAATAATTGGGATATCTTTTGTACCTCCAAAGGTAATTTCTTTTCATCTCATCACTAAGATAATTATCTCTCTGGTCTAACAATAAATTGTTAAGTCGTCTCACATTTGACTATTTGGCAAAGTAAAGAAGTAAGAATCAGTATATACTCAGCTTCAAGTCTTAACACAATGTAAATCATGTTAAGGCATCTCCTAAATTGGGTTGTTTTATCAAACATTGTCTGCCCCAGGGAAAACACACGCTGGGGAGACTGGAGATGTTGCAGATGATCACTACCACCTTTACATGGTATGGCTTCTTTACCTTTCTTGTTTTAGGATTTGGGCAAAGCTCAACTCTCTTTTGGAATTTTAATTTCATAAAGCAATTAGTATAAAAATGAAATGATGTTAGTTTTCTTACTTTTTGGGGATAATAAATGGATTATTATAGGAAGACATTGATCTGATGCAACGTCTTGGGTTGGATGCATATAGACTTTCCATCTCATGGGCCAGAATCTTACCCAGTATACTTTTTATTTTAATTTCCACTTCCATATACCATTATTTCTATTTTTTGTAAATGCATATCAACATATACACTTGGATTTGTCTTAGAGGGGAGATTTGGCGGTGTAAATCAAGCTGGTATTGAGTTTTACAACAATGTTATAGATAATGTGATATCCAAAGGTAATGGGTGGAACCTCAGCTTCCTTTTATTAGTTTACACGGAATCATGAAATGTTAAGATACTACTTGGAAAAGTTGCAGGAATAAAACCTTTCGTAACGATCCATCACCATGACTATCCACAAGAACTTGAGTACAGATATGGAGGTTGGCTTGATTCCGAGATGCAGTATGGTTTCTCACTTGGTTTGTAGTTGGGTTATTCGATCGAGTGTCTTTCGTAGTTTTGCTAAGCCATCCACACAAATACATATAAAAACAAACAAAAAACATTAGAACTTCATGATAATTCTTGTAAAACATTAACTTCTATTATGCAAATCCAAATAACTACTGAAATAAGCAATTCGATTTGGCCAATTCTATAAAAAATGAACAGACCAACTTAATTAGACCATGAAAGAAATCAAACCAACATGTAAGGTTCTAGATCTTAATAATAAGTATGAGACATTTTGTGTTTTTATAGGGCAGACTTTGTGTACTTTGCTGAAAAATGCTTTGAGAGTTTTGGAGATAGAGTGAAGTACTGGATTACAATCAATGAGCCAAACTTATTTTCTGGCATGGCATATGAGAAGGGGATCTATCCACCTTCTCATTGTTCGCTGCCATTCGGAAATTGCACTTCAGGCAATTCAGATGTTGAGCCTCTTATTGCAATGCATAACATGTTGTTGGCACATGGCAAGGCCGCAAAGGTGTACCGTGAGCAATTTCAGGCAAGTCACAAAATGGTTCTTTTGCGATTACCTCGTTAAATAAAAAAAGTACTTCACCGTCAACTACTGCTAAAATGGCACTGCAAATGCAGCCTAAACAAGGTGGATTCATTGGAATAACTGCACACATGTTCATGTACGAGCCTTTTTGTAATGATGATGTGCATGATCACGAAGCTGTCAACAGAGCATTAGCATTTAATGCGGCTTGGTACGTCTTGCTATATCTGAGCTAGGGGAATTTTCTTTTTTAGTCCCCTATAATTTGGAATTATATATTCTGGATCATGTCTTTTATTTATACTCCGTACTATTCTAGTAAATTTAACATCTCAATTGTTATAACATAGCTGCAATCAACCATTCCCATTAAGAATCTAAGATAACTGTTTAACTGCTTAAGTGAGAGCCTACGTGAACGTACGGAAGGGTGAGATTATTCTCATTCAATATTGCCAAGAATCTCTACATAACCCTTCACACCATACAATCATTTTAGTAAGAGGGCCATGTGCATCTAAATTTTAACAATTGAGGGATTAAAATTACAAATTATGAAAGGCATGTGTTGCAAATCTGCAATAGAAATAATTGTAGAATATAGTTGCTATGCTATATCATGTGCATAGTCACATGGTTCGCGGTACGATTCGATACGGGAACGAGGAACGGGAATGCGGTTCGCTAGATCTAGCGTATCCGATTTGGAGGGGGGTAGGTTCATTTCGGTACGTGTTCGGTACGATGTACCTAATATTTATGAAGAGTACCCTATTTCGGTATGATCATGTGAAACAACAGGGAGACTAAGAGTGATTCCTACTCCTCTATGTGTTAATATTTAAATATGGCAAAAGAATATGTGCCTTGTATTTTTCTTGAAAAAACAAGTAAGGTAACACAAAATGAAATCTAAATTTGAGATTTACAACTATCAGTACATTTCTTATAAGCGAACCGTATATCTTGCATGGTCAAACAGGACATATGATCCTTTAATATATGGTGATTATCCTCCTGAAATGCATTTCTACCATGGGAGTGAATTACCAAACTTCACCTCAGAGGAAAAAACCCTTGTAAAAGACAGTGTCGACTTCATTGGCATAAACCATTATGGCACTTTGTATGCAAAAGATTGCCTTTATTCAAGCTGCAACTGCACTGGATCTAGCTGTAGCAAAGGTGCAGACCGAGTTATAGAGGGATTCTTGTATACTACTGGAGAGAAAGATGGTGTTCCGATTGGAGAACCGGTACGAAAGTTTGATTTTATAAACTATACCACATTTTGAGTTATTAGGTGCGACTAATTCCAATTCCTGTCCCTCATTCATAATTGGTTATTCATATTCTGTGTCCTGCAGACAGGCAGCCCTCGGTTTTTTAGTGTTCCTAGAGGAATTGAAAAGATTGTGGATTATGTTAAGGAAAGATATCACAATAAGCCCATGTTCATATTCGAGAACGGTGAAGACCTATTTTTTCGCATAATATGTAATATGGTATAAATTCCGATCTCAACCAGATAAACTAGGACAAACTTATTTCACTTTTATTGCCCAGACTAATATATCATTCTCCCTCTTGGTTTCTGACTCTTATTTTTTTGACTATAGACCTTTTGCCACTTTTGGTCTAATGGTCTTCCTCACACATTATTGACCAGTAGTCGTACAATTTAAGTAGCCAGAAAGGACCAGAAGTGGCAAGGCCCATATCATGCACTAGAAGTGGAAAATATGAGTTTTGTGGGTCACAAGTGCAAATGACCTCATAGTCATTGAGCAACTTGTTCTCCTGGATAATATTTCTTGCCCAACGTAGTTTCTTTCAAAATCTTTTCCAAAATACGTTATCTTCTGGAGATAAAAAGGGGGAGCCTAAATCATACGCTTTCACCAATACTCTCACGATAAATAATACGGAGTAACGGAGTAGACATGAAATTGTGTGCCACATTCGCCTTTGTATGTGATTAACTGTCCTGAATGTATACTTGAATGGTTTTATAGGGTACTCTTCACCAAACAAGACAACATTAGCTCTTGAAGTAGAGCTTGACGCCAAGAGAATAGAGTATCATAAAGCATACCTTTCCTATCTGGCTCAAGCAGTGAGGTAACTACTTGTTTATTATTATATTATATAACTCATAATTGGGTCAGAGTTTCTGAACAGGGCTATATTGCTATAATAATGCCAATGGATCAAATCATATTATAAGAAAATTGGATATTTTCTTATAAATATCCGTCCACATATGACTCTCGGTAATCATGCCATTCGATTAACCAGTCCACATGAGATGTGGTTCAGGGCCTTATTTAACCCCCATATGACTACTCTCTTTGAGTCTTGGATATTTTGATATGGCCTTATACACTCTCATGGTTTGCTTTGATGACCTCTCCCTTTTATCAATGTTGGTAGCAATGGTGCTGATGTGCGTGGGTATTTCATTTGGAGCTTGCTGGACTCGTTTGAATGGATTGATGGTTATGAGACGAGATTCGGGCTGTATTACGTAGAACCTCATACTCTGCGTCGAGTCCCCAGGCTCTCTGCCACCTGGTACCGGGATTTCCTCAGCAAGATGAATCTCCGCAACATGGAATAGGCAAATTTGGCTATGTTTTGATTGGAGATGAATCTCAACAGATACCGCAGAAGAAGTACTGATACAGTTTCATACTTTTCCTATGCCTGTTGTATGTTTTTTGTGCGTGTCTAAATCCTCATTACTTGTTATATGTGTGTATACCATTGAGCAAATGGGAACTGGGAAGCTAACTGGCTGGCAGCAAAAGCTAAGCTAGGCAGGTTTCAAAGTGGTTTATATGTTGTAGTGTTGTACAATATACGTCCTTTGCACTTCAATGTGATTGGATAATTTATTGTAGCATATGTAATGCTCTAAAAAATGGGATGACACCCCATCCCTAAGGGCCCTGTAGGACCGACTACACAGTTATCTGGAAGGACCGAAGGATGTTAGTTGAGCTTTGACTTCACGCTAATGGAAAGAGAATGGGGTTGTCTTTTCGTTGAGTAATAATCAGAATGAGTTGAGACACAATTGCGAGTTGATTGGGAGCATTGGAGGTCGATAAGACGCCAATGATGGATTGTCGAAGTTTTAAGAGCTTGATTGGCTACGGGATCGAACGAAGACTTAGGACATGTTTACTTCAGAGCTTTTCGCATGTCATTTTCTCAATTTATGTGTAAAAGACGGTTTAGCCTCATTAGGTGATGTTATGGAATATGGAGAACGTGAAGGGGGCAATGGACTGATTTGGGGTAATAATCAACTGAAAAGGCAATGACGTCAATAGTAATCTTGTAGTTTGTTTTTTATCCACAATTGTAGGAGAGAAAAATGCATAGCCATGCATACTTGTTCAACAAAACACGCACGTTGATAAAACGGTTGGGATGAACCCACTCACTTAAACAAAAAATTATCAACTCGGCCATTTATTAAAAATTAGAAATTAATTAAAGTAAATTTTATTTAAAATATTCTAAATTTTCCAACATATTGCACGGACGAGGTCAACTCGGCCATTTATTAAAAATTACTAGGGTAGAAATTAGTTTCATCTCAACAGCTCGGGGTTTGATCTCTACTTCCTTTTTTATTTATTTGTTTTTTCGCTTTTCAGTTTGTTTTGGTGTTCGTTTTTTTGTTTCCCCTTAATGTTTTCCTCTTCATTTTTGTGTTCGCTTTTCTGTTTCCCCTTAATGTTTTCTAAGAAGTAAGTATTTTAACTATTTTGCTTTGCATTCATTATTTTAGGGATTAATTTTAATCTGTTTTTCAATTATTATTACAGATTTTGCTTTTGATCCCGTCATGTATAATTGTTGTCTAAAACTATCAATCCGCCAAAAGAATGAATGTATTCCTTTTTTGCATTTATTGCTTTTGATATTACATGAAAACGAGAACTAATACATCAAAGTAGATTAGTGTCATTTAATCCATTATGAAAGATTCAATCTGCATAGAGCTATTAGAAAGTCAAAGCATAATAGAAAGATCAGGGTTTTTGGCGAATTCAAGCAGACATTATACATCAAATAAAACTAATGTTGTAAGCCAAACTAACCAAATCAACTAATCTATTTTAGAACCTTATTGTCCTTACAAACCAAGAGGTTGACTTTCGATCCCTTTAGTTTAACTGTTTGGTGATGTTACAAATGGAACTTTTACAAAACAGTTCATAGTAGTAATGCTTATATTTTTTGCCACTTGACTTAACTTTCCATTATCTTAGATAGACATATTGATCTATACGTGTGTGCTTGCATGTTGCTGCAAATATCTATTAGTCTGTGTACGTTGGAGTTCATTTGCCATGAGGCCCTTGAGGTATGCTTTCCATATCTTCCAATATGAATGAGCATTTGGTGATTCTGGATTCATAGTAGTTGATGCATTTAATTTATTTATTTTCAATCCTTTTTTATTGCAATGGTTTTGGTAGATTATCAAGTAGGATAAAATTCAACCCCTTATGTAAAAAACTTATTGACCTTTTGCAAACAAATGACAATAGTAATGCTCATATTTATTGCCGAACTACTAGCTTTCCATTATTTTAAATTACACATATTGAGTTAATCGTGTGATTTTCATCTAAGATACTGAGTAAAAAGCGTGTTATGATAGTAGTATTATTTTTAGTATTTTAGGTGAACCTATTCTTAAGTGATTGCATATAGAAATGATAAATAAGTGATTAACATTGCAAAATGGTAAAGGCTCAAATCGTTTTTTTAACCTCTTTCAATTTTATTAAAAGTTAAAAAATGTAGCTTGCTGGTGATATTTGCTATTACTTCAGCATATTCATGCATGAAATTTCACCTCATTATTTTAAAAGTCTACAAATCGGGAGGCTGATTTCCCTATAACTTTTTTTGTTGTGAGAGCAAAATTGCATTAAGAAAACAAAATTATCAATGTGAAGAAAAACAATATTTTGTGTATTTTGACACCCTTTTGTTTGCCTACCTGTCAAGTGTCATGTTTCCTTTTCTAGATATGATGTAAAAATGCAGATTATTCTTTCTTTTTGGACTATAATTTGCGAACACTAAAACTATTAGTGGTGTAAAATGTTGTTTTGTTAGTATAGTACATACTGCAAATTCAGTGTTTGTCTTTCAGATTTAAAGCTTCTTTTTTGTTAGATGTGGATGGCTATCTCTTTGAATAGTTAGTATAATAGTAAGATTTAAGTTATTGCATGTCATTATGTTAAGTAATGAATTTTCTAAATGTTTATTTAGTATTTTCAAGCCATGCTATTTGAAATGGAAAATCAGAAGTAATTTTTTTCTTTAGTTCTCATCTATTTGCTTAGTTCTTATCATATCAAGCACGACACTATACTGTCACACCTCCCAATTTTTTCCGGGTAATTTGTATACTCAACATGTTTTTTCATTGGTTGCTTTTGTAGTTCATGTCTGCTCAAATCTCTACATCTCTATAAGCATGAATAATGTTAGGGGTATAATGGGAATGTAAAAACTGTTGGTGTCCCTCAAGGCTTTAAGCACTTGTACTTCATGCATAGTTTTTTCTAATCTAAAATAATACTCCAAAAGTTAACTTACTTCCGTTAATCCGTTTAATAAACACCAAGAGATGCTACATTAACTTAATTGCGTTTATTTACTCACCCTTGGTTTTGGGTGACCCTCCATCTTTTTTTATTATTATTTTAAGTTACTCTATCTCTTCTCTACATCTCTATAAGCATGAATAATGTTAGGGGTATAATGGGAATGTAAAAGATGTTGGTGTCCCTCAAGGCTTTAAGCACTTGTACTTCATGCATAGTTTTTTGAGATATTACCCAAAATGGGACTAAAAATGTTTGAAAATTCCAAAATAGAACTTCCATGTTTTTATTCCCAAAATAGGACTAATTACTGCCATGTTTTGGCAGTACCAGACTTCAAACATGACAGTATTTTCCAAATTTGGCAGTAATTAGTCCTATTTTGGGAATAAAAATATGACAGTCCTATTTTGGAATTTTCAAACTTTTTTAGTCCTATTTCGGGAACTTTCCCTAGTTTTTTCTAATCTAAAATAATACTCCAAAAGTTAACTTCCGTTAATCCGTTTAATAAACACCAAGAGATGCTACATTAACTTAATTGCGTCTATTTCTCACCCTTGGTTTTGGGTGACCCTCCATCTTTTTTTTTTTAAGTTACTCTACATCTCTATAAGCATGAATAATGTTAGGGGTATAATGGGAATGTAAAAAATGTTGGTGTCCCTCAAGGCTTTAAGCACTTGTACTTCATGCATAGTTTTTTCTAATCTAAAATAATACTCCAAAAGTTAACTTACTTCTGTTAATCTGTTTAATAAACACCAAGAGATGCTACATTAACTTAATTAGGTCTATTTACTCACCCTTGGTTTTGGGTGACCCTCCATCTTTTTTTTTTAAGTTATAAGATTTGCCTTGCTTTTATTACTCCCTCCGTTTCTATTTGGTTGACACACTTTCCTTTTTTGGACGTTTCAAAATGAATGCCACACTTCTTTATTTCCTTATTTGGTAAACAAATTTTTACCTAAACAGTGCCAAACAGTGTTCAAACGGTGCCAAACAGTGTTCAAACAGTGCCAACCAGTGTACTCTACAGTAAAATTTACCCCTCAATAACTTTTTCCCCTTAAATCTTGACAAGTCAAACTGTGTCAACCAAATAGAAACAGAGGGAGTATTATTTTTCTCCGGTAAAAAAAGGCCAACAGGCCAATTTAAAAAATCATCCAAATTATCCTAGAAGGTAGTTTGCTTTTGTATATTAAGCCTAAAAGCTAGCATATGTGAGTATTAAACACAATACTATCGATCGAACCTCTGTAGAAAAAGGGATAATTTCGGCTTTGAACTTCTCTGCTGCAGTTGCCGCAGCAGCTCTCTGATGAGAAACCCCTAATGACAATAAGAAATTAAAGCTTAAGCCGGAAGCTCATTTTGCAAACAAGTCCCTATGGAAGTGAAATATAAAAAGAATCTTAAAAAGTGAGGAACATGCATGCAAGTGAAAATTAAGCTTAAAGCAGCATGGTCTTGTTCTTTGCCTACTCACTTCATAACGTCGTGCAACATTTTCAAAAGTAATGCGGCATTAGAAAGTAATGCGGCATTACTAATGCCCATTGGTAGAAGATAATCATTGGCTTGTGGGATAGTCTTTACCTTTTTGAAGCACACATTCTTACAGAGTTTTCTACGAGTATAACGGAGGAACAATACACTGAAATTCAATTCAGTGTGTGTTGGTGTGTTCTGGGGGTGGGGTACATAATTTTTTAAAAATTAACATTTGAATAAAAGAAGTCTGGTTTAGTACTCTTAGATTAACAGTTTCAGAGAGACTGCTATTCTCCAATGTATTCCCTATTTTACTCTCGTTATACATTTACATATGGACATATTTTCTTCAAACAATGTCAACATATAAAGTTAATAGATGTTTCATAAGAACATAAGATTTTTTTCTCTCATAATAATTAATCAAATACAAAGTACAAAGTAGTATTTTATGTTAGTCTACAATAACACTAAGATGAGATTGCAGCTATTAGCTTAATTTTTTACTCAATTTCACTGATCTTATGTTCATGGGCATTGTGTATTTATTTAGTTATCAAAGTTAGTGTTATTAATGTGTGTGTTTGTAAGAATATACATATATAAATGCTTGTTATGTACTATAGTAATTAATTGATGATCGAACTTTACCATCCTATGATAATTATAATCAACTTGAATTGCCTTCATTCCTAACTAACTTTACATTTACATTATAATAGTAATAGTGCCCTTACAAAATCTTGCACCTAAATGCTAGTCATAACAAATACGATAGTATGAAGTATAATATGATTGGTACCACAGTATGCTTGTAATACAAGAATTTTTACTATTTAGAATCATTTATTCCTAAATTCATTTGATAATAATATAAATTTTCTTAACATCATAAAATAATATGTTTCAAATGATCTTGGGCATTCACACGCACGCGCATAGCGCGTTTATAAACTAGTGTATTGTATAAGAGGATACGGGTCGTTTTTTCTTCTATTGCTTCAGAAGAGAAGTTTTGGCAATTAGCTCCTATCAGTTCAAAAGAGAAGTTTCTTCCATTAGATCAGTAGGTGGCAACTATGAGCATTTATAGTTTCGTCATTACTCTATTAGATGTTATTTATGAAAATATTCATGAATGATCAATTGTAATAGCTATGAGCTTGTAACTGTGCTATTAGTAATTAACTCTTTTAAATAGAAGACAACGAGTCCAATTGGTTTACGTTTTAATCGACCGCCCGCCCGCTCACGGAAGAAGGTAGGCCTCAC